GGTTTGCTCATTTCCATAGGACAGAACTTCAATACTATTCCTTAAAGAAAGCTAGTGACAGACAAGTCAAGCTGATCTCTTATAACCTAGAAACATGCTATATAATCCTATTTTTATGTATGTAAGAAAGCCTATGTTTACTTAAACATTAATAAACTCTTATATGGAGCTTGGATTATGAATCTTTGTAATTCAATAGATATGGATTAAAAGATGATAAGCCAAAAGCTGTCTATTATATCCATGTGGTCAGGGTTTCTCAACCTCAGCACTACTGACATTTTGGGCCAGGTAATTCTTTGTGGGGCTGTCCTGTGCATTGTAAGATGTTTAGCAGCATCCCTGACCCCTACCCACTAGATGTCTGTAACACACACACACACACACACACACACACACACACACACACACTAGTTATGGCAACCAAAAGTGTCTCTGGGCATTGTCAAATGTACTCCGGGAGCCAAAGTCTTCCCTGGTTGAGAACCACTGATGTAACTCCAATTTGCAAAACTGAGTCATTTTATCTCTCTATCAACAGAAATATGTGCTTTGCATGCACACTGGTATTTTGGGTTTTAATATGTATTAAACCATTTCTTGTAAAGAAAAGAATTTGCAGTGCCAACGGCAAAGCAGAAAAAGCTACATGACAAGCAAAACTATATTCCAAAGCTTCATACCATATTATGAAATAGGCAACATAAAGAACACTAAAAACACTAATATTCAGCAAAGATAAAAATATAAGCAAACAGATGTGTACAGTGACCCTAATTTATGAAGGTTTTGATTGTTTTTTATAACTTCAGATAACCTTGCTGCAGAATTTGGAGCCGAAGTTATCCAAAAATTTGACTCTAGTCTAGTCACCTACTTGGGAAAATATATTTATCATAGTCTATATTATGATACATTAATAATATCACTGCACTTAATAACCTTATAATTCAATACCACAGTTTAAGAAAAAGATTGTTAGCAGGCTGCCTGAACTAACAATATTAAAATGTTGACTATATGTGGTTGTGTGAAAATTAATTGACATCTTTCCATTGCACTCCAAACAATGAATGAGAAAAATGATTTGCTGATGTCAGAACCTACCATCCCTTAAAACAATGTTAATACCAGAGACTGCATGGTCTCCTATAACTGTGACATTAACTTAGTAATATGAGTGATAATTATTTAGGAGGAAAATAAAGCTAAAATGTCTTTTGGGGGTTTGTAACTACTTATTGATTAAATTAGCATGTATGTCCACTTACGGGAAACAACTTCAAATTTAAGTACCCAAACACTATTCTTTTTTATGTATATGTAATAGTTTCATTGAAAAAAATTTATAGCTACATTTTACTTTATATTTCATTTTAGATGCAGATAGTTGAACTGAATAAATTTAAAATGTAATTGAATGACCAAAGGATAAAAACATCCTTTTCTGACTCAGAATAGTTCAATCTGTCATTACAATAAAAAAAAAAAATGAATTCACACTTTAAAAAAATAGGCTAATGGAATAGAAATTTGTCTTCCTGTTTTATGCCGCCCTCTCTCCAGTCCACTCGTCAGAAGACATTTCAAGTGCAATTCCTCTGAAAGCTACAGATTCAATAGGTTAATGGGTAGTTACTATTCTTGTTACTGGGCTGACTCTATTCATTCCATATCGAAAAAATCTTTTTGTTGTTCTTGTTTCTGTACAATTTCCTGACATTAAAGAAAAAAAGAGTCAAGTGGCATGGTAAGTAGAAGACAAGAGCAAGCTGGGTTGATTTCTGTACTGATTTCCTAAGTATTGCTTTCCCCTTTCGACATTTTAAATCAGACAAAAACACTTCTCTGTATTTCTAATGAAAAAACGAGCAATCAGTTCTGAAATTTATGCCAAGCCAAATGAACTCATTACTGTTATGAAACAGTTTAACACACTTTGATCAATATATTAGCTGTGCAAACACAAATATGCTATAGTAATATCACAATGTAAGCAAACCTGACAGGCCTATGCTAATAAGAAATAAGACATAAAAGATGTGAAGGCATTAGGTATTTGAAGAAAAGCCAAATACCTTTAATACTCCCCAGAAATGGCATTCTCTCAACTCTTTTGTACATATGGTATAAGTCCCCTAAACACAAAGAAATCTTACAAATTTATTCTTATTCTTTTACGAAGTTAGTTAAAAATTAATGAACAAATTAAAGAGAAGGTACTGTAATAAAGTTAGACTATTCTAACTGAAAAACAATTTCAATGAAACTATTTACACTCCCATAGAAATCTACACATTTTTCAAGGCATATTTTGCAATACAATTTTTTAAAACAATGTTTTCTTCTTACTCTTGAAACAAACACTGCAGGTTTATTTTACTTTTTTTTTTTAAAAAATTCACTTACTAGAGTAAGAGCTTTACTTTTGCAGAAAAAGAGCTGTGTGACTTAAAGTAGCATGCTGCATGCTCAGATTTTTCTTCAAATACATTTGCATGCCTCATCTTTCAACTAAGAGGATTAGTTTTCAACAATACTATGTAATTGACAGAAAATTGTGTTGAAATGGTAGTATTATCTAATTCTGGGAACTTAACCAGTCAGACATCAGATACATAGTTCTTTGTACAGAATTGGAAAAAGCCACCATTTTAAACGTGCTCAATGATTTTCTACTGTTCTCATCCCCCCACCTTAAAATCATATTCAAATTTCACAGAAGTGAGAGCAACAAGCTTAATTCTTGTCCTGAAATTTAAACAAGTTACCTTTCTAGTTTTAGATATTTAATCCAACAAAACCTCCTACTCTGAGACAACTTTAGGGCGTTCACTAGGAAAAATCCCCTCTGTAGCTGCTGGCTCAAACTCGACAAACTTGCTGAACTGTGCAGATGTTAAGGCAGCTCTCGGTTACACTAGGGAAGAAAGAAGAACTAGACATTCCACAGCTGCCTACAACAGCTTCCTTCCCAGGGGCACAGTTGCAGGCTCTATCAAGCTCAATCACTTTGTACAGCAACTGGGGATCCCAGGCAGGGGCAATGAAATCCCAGTGCAGCTTAAATTTCTCCCACTACCACAGCAAGAAGTAACACTACTTAAAGAGTAACCAGTTATTTCCAACAATTGTGTGGCCCTAGGCCAAAAAAAGGATGAAGAACATCTGTAGTGAGAAAAAATAAAAGATGCTTCATATTTTTAGAATTTCAAGCTACTTACAGGAGATCTTCCTTGAGTCTTTGTTATGAAAATAACTATGAATATTTGATTTTTATTCCTGATAAATTTTTTTCCTTTGCGGGGGTGGAGAGAGGATAGTCAAGTTGAAGAAACACAGAACTTAACAGTTAATTCAACAATTATAATGTAACGCATTCATTGCAGGGTTTTAAAGAGAAGAATGTATATGACAGTAATATCACGTTTAAAGGTACTCTGTTCTTCCATTTCATATCAGTATACATTCTCACATGTTCTTTCAAACATTTTAAAGACTAAATTGTATTAATCATATGGTGTGACTAAAAACAGGCAGCTAGAAAATATTCTTCCCTATTTGAGGATAATTGATGCTACAGCCATTTCCTTAGGATAAAACATATAACTCCATTAAATAATAGAAATATACAGATCACTATTTCCTATAAAATTATACTTTTATACAAATCATCTTCTAGGGTAGTAAAAGACAACATGTAGATGCATAGATAGTTTTTATATCTTAAATTTATAATATTATTACAATAATTAATTATTACTTGGTCAGAAAACCATTATTGTACCTGCACATAAGCACTTGTAAGAATTCACCAGATATGATAATAAAAACAATGATGATGATGTTACAATTTATTGTGAGCTTACTATGATTCAAGCACTGTGCTGAGAGCTTTCAATACATTACCCCATTTACCCCTCCCAATGATATTATCTCCATTTTATAGATGAAGAAATTAACTTATAAGATCATGAGCTAGTAAATGGTACAGCCAGAATTTAATTTTTTTTACTCTAAAGTCCATGCTCTAGTTATTATGCTTTACTGACTGTGTTGAAAATGACATTTGTATGTTAATTTGGAACATTTCAAGTATTTTTGAAATCAATTTTAGAGGTTTATATTGTCATTAAATTCTTCTATTCAAAGAAAAATAGCCTCTCCACATGAGATGTTAGTTAAATCTCACATTACTTATGATCCCTTTTTCTTCTCTAACTACTGATTTTTTTAATAGCCAGAAAAAGGCTAATGGCAACCTAGAGTATTAGTAATGCAATAATTCCCTGAATGTTTTCATATCCTAAGTATCCTAAATTTCAAACACTTATCTTTCTGTCCTAGGTTGATCCTCAAAACCACAAGAAGTTCATATATAATTAATTTTATGTTATACAACAGATGCTGAGGCATGTAAACACTAAACTAGGCCTGAAATTTTAGAGTAAAAAACCTTTTTGATTTCATATTGATACTATCAATAGGAAAACTTTAAGACTCAAAGGCCTTGTTTATAGTACAACAACATTCCTCTAAGACAATGCAATACACTATAGCAAGGAGAAATATATGAGGCAGAAGTTGATGACATATGGGGTGTGCACAGAACTTCTGGTTAATGGAAGTTCCAAGATGTATAAATAAAAAATGATGTGTGAGTTGGTGGAAAAAACTATAAGGCAAGTCAATTTTTTAATTAAAAAATTATGTAGCATAAACAATGCTAATGAGCCAAAAGTCCCAAGAGATTAGGATTGTATCTGCTTCATTTTAACGTTCCATTCCCTTTTCGTAAGTGTACATCCACTCGCTTGAAATACCTCAAGCAGAACACTTTTTGTAAAACAGAGCTTTGAAGATTTTCTTTGTCCTTGTTCTTAATAGCTCACGATTTTCTACTTAAGTTGTCAACCTGATAAAATGACATACATATACACACACACACATACACACAAAGGGCCCTAAAATCTTTAAATGAATTACCAGAAAATAAATACCTGGAAGTTCTTCATAAATTTCATCATCTATTGGCTGACTGCTTATTGATGGACTGCTCATTGATAGAGGATGATCAACATCATCATATAATTCTCCTCTATCATCATCATCCTCAGGAATAACATCAGATTCCATATCTATAAAACATATTTCATGGAGTAAATTTTACAAGAATGCAAAAGAGATATTTTAAAACTATACTTAATAAACACAGCCCTACAAAGTAAAAACATTCTTGTTATATGCTGTATCCTTACTAGAAAACATTTTTAAAAAATTGATTGTTTTGTGAATATGTGAATTTTAAAGTTGCCAACTGGTACTTATAGAAAAGATGCTTTTACAAATCTAAACTGAATGGTCTTATATTGATACAAGTCACATTCCCTTGGTCATTCTCACAGAAGTCAACAAGCTTTTGCGTATGAAAACCCAAAGCACTCAGTTATTCAGATATTTAATGACTGTGTTAACTTGTCCAATTGATTGCTCTTACCTTGTAATACAAATTTCAGCTGCTGCACCCATTCCTCAGCATCTTTGGGAGAAGCTGCTGTAAACTAATAAAAAGCAAACAATAAGAATGAAAATCACCACAGTATAAATGAAAGGTATGAGGTATGTTGCATTCTCACCATTTCTTTAAAACCATTAGTAATTCTTTTCATGTCTAGTGGTACTTTTCTTGCAAGGATGCTTCTTATAATGTACAGTTAATTTTGACAAATTTAAGTAATTGAAGCAGAGGATGATGAATTTGAAACTCTGATCAGCAGCTGGCAGCTGTGCAGGAAAAAAAGCTGCTTCTCTTCATCAATGTCAAAGGCAGAACTGATGAACAAAATTTGCCCTTGACAATTAGAAGACACCCATGAATTTCTTTAGACTGCTGGGTACAGTTTTCTTAAAAATGTTCTTGTCAGATTCCAACACATTACCTGACAACTTAATTAACTGGCTTTCAACTGCAATCTCAGATATTTAAAACTTATTAAACATACATTCCATATTGATGCCTAGCTGATAGCTCTTGAAATGCAGAGCTGATACATGCCTTTACCTTCATTTACTCCCACACCCCTAAGCAATATAATATGCATTAACACTCTGATATTTTTCTTTTGATAATCTTACTCTTTCTGCTATGTAATTCTTTTAAAAAATCATACAGTTCTATTAAAATAGATATAAAATGCAACATGTGAAGTAATTGATAAATTACATATTCTCTTGATCTTTTTCAAGAAGATAACATTTGAACTAATCTGAAATTTTAAAAAAATATATTTCCTCTTATATAAATGCTCCATATACAAAAACCAGTATATTTTATTATTATTAACATGTGAGGGAAAGTTGTTTTAACAAAATGTTAATGTCTCTATACATAAAATCAGAACATTTTATCAACTTAATTTCAAGGCAACATAAAAACTACAACCTGATAGACACGTTTATCAGGAGCAGAGATTTCAAAACAGCAATCTTTCTTTCCATCCTTCCTAAGGGTGTTATTCATTCTGACATTGTAGCCATCTATTGCAAATTCACCTTTCTGTTGTTTGTCTGTTGAAGATAAAACAAGAGTTAGAATTGCATTTGCTACAGTAAATATAAATGCTCAATTATCTCTTGTTAAATTTTCTTTGTCAATTGTTGGAAAGAGTATTTTTTGGTCATATTGCTTTAGTAACACAATGCTTAAATAATGTTTCTAGAAATCGTTTTTAATTCTAAAATGTGGAAGCATTTGGGATGGCTGAGTCTAAAAAGGATATCTTAGGGAACCAGAGGAAGAGGTCTGTAGATGGTAGTCTTATTCAGAAGAAATTATGGAAATATGACAATTACATAAGGAAAATCCAAGAACTAAAACTTAGAACCTGCTAAACAAACCCACTACAAGCCTGTGGCTCTTTCAGATTTTAGTAAGCCAGCAAGAAAACCTGTCCTGTTGAAAAGTTGCTGGATTTTATACCATTATCTCCTTTCACCAACCCCTCCCCACCACCACCACCACCACCACCACCAGAAAAAAAAAAAAAAAAAAAAAGTCTCTTAACTTGGCACAAATCTAACTCTAAATTGAAAAAGCAAAGCAAAACAAAACAAAACTACCAATTACAAAAAAGATGTGAAGGGAAAACAAACTATTTCGATGGAGAAGAGAGAGAAAGCAATATAGAAGCATCCGTTACCAGAAAACAGGAAGGCTCTTAACCAGTCAGTGGACAGCTGAACTGGTGAAGCAAACCTGATTCCATATGCTGAAGAGTCAAAAGAAAAGATGACTTGAGCTTTGGTCAGACATTATTTTAAAGACAAAGTAAGAACACAACAAAGGATTTAATACTCTGAAACTGAAAATAAAATTAGTCAGCCTTCCTACTTCACCCAGTAATAATACCATTTGGATAGAAAAACCGCATGGTTATAGGTTTATTTCCTAGATTAACACAATACATAAAAATCATGAGTAAGGATGAACTGTCTCTTTTACTGAGCTCAGGGGAAATACAGAAATGCTTCCACATTGTGAGTGAAGGGCTCTCTCAACTCAGTGCACCAATAAAACATATAACTCCTTTTCTTAAATACATTAATTGAATGCCTGAAGTAACATGCATTTTTTAAAGGTCATGGAGATTATATCTTGTTCAAAATATCAAATGAGAAAAAGTCTGAGTTAGCAATTCCTGACTTAAGCCTGAACAATCTAATCATAGTTAGTCAAAATTTATATCTCTTTAGATGACTTAAAAGCAATTCAAATTCAAAATTTTACAGTTTATTTCATGAAGAAGTCTATGAATTTCACAAAAACTATACAGTACTTTAAAAGTGAGAGCAGCATTTCCTAAAGCGTGTTTTGTGGGATATTAATAGATTTCTGTGATCAAATAAGTTTGGGAAACTTTTTGCTGAATTAAACAAAATTAAACAATTTTGTTAGTCCAGGCCTTCTTGGAGCCTTTAATATATTTACATACTAATTAAACTTATAAGAGAAAGACTTAGTATACAGCATTTCCAGAAATTATTTGTCCATGGAACACTTTTTTTTCACAGAACATTTTATGGATCTAGTACATAATTTGCAAAACACCTAACTAGAATACTGGTAGGAAAAAAGTATTAAAATAATAAATGGGTAAGTACAGTTGGTTCTTCTAAAATTCTCAAAAAACACTAAATCATTCAACAAATTTATATTGAGCACTTTAAACAAACCAGGCAGCATTTTAACTATGTTGAGACAAAAGCTAGGAGTAGCTTATGAGAGCTTTCCCACCTTCCCAAGGATCACCAGACTGCAAAAGGAATTTAGCTTTCACTATAAAAAGTGGAAATAGTCTCAGGCAAAATATCAAAGCCATTCAGGACAATTTTGGGAAATTGCTTTAAACTCTCCAGGAGAAACAGAATTTTTAAGGACCAGACTTGAAGGAAAGTCACTCCCTTACTGCACAACGGCTCAATGGCTTTGCACACTAGGTCCATTTGATCCAAAACGCATGCTTTCTACCTCCAATTTGGGTCTAAAATTCTTATCAACGTGTGGGAAATGCGTAAGTAGTGGGAGTCTACTTCTGGAGATGTAAAATCAACATGACAAATACTTAGTTTGGAAGAGCTGGGGGGAGCAGGACACTTTACTGTGCTAGATTATCTAGGAATAAGACAACCAGGCAGCAACATCAGGCAATCCCAACTTAGACTGGATCTATTTTCTTTTTTTTTTCTTCCTTTTTTTTCTTTCTGTGACCTTTGCAGAGAAGTAAGCAGATCCATTTTAGACAAAACCCCCAGAAATATGCCATGGGGCTGTGTAGCAGATCTTCTGTTAGAGTCTTCGTGGACAGTATTGTCCTCTAGTGAGATGAACCAGAAAGAAGCCATGAGTCCAGTTTATAGGCAAGCATCCCAGATTATATAGACATGGCCCTGTTCAAGGATAAGTAAAAGAGGAAAAGCAAACACAGGTACCATAAAAATATTGTGTAATAAAAAAAAATAACATAGCACTTAAGAGGCAGAAAGCACTAGCAAACTAGAAGAAATTGAAGTAAACTTTAGATTGCTTTGTGTCTTTTATAAAAGTAAACACACATATACAAATTCTGAAATAGATGAAAGATGAAACTGTAACATAAAATAAAAAGAGAAATGGCTGAGACAGGTAGAAATTGAAATGAAGCTGACAAAATAAGAAAAAAACTATATGAGGAAGTGGAAAATGCAGCAGCAAAACAAATGATGTATTTATTAAAAGTGATAAAAAGTAGAACACTGTTGAAAATCAGATTCAGATGTATCTTTTTTTTTTTTTTTTTTTTTGAGACAGAGTCTCACTTTGTTGCCCTGGCTAGAGTGAGTGCCGTGGCATCAGCCTAGCTCACAGCAACCTCAAACTCCTGGGCTCAAGCAATCCTACTGCCTCAGCCTCCTAAGTAGCTGGGACTACAGGCATGCACCACCATGCCCGGCTAATTTTTTTCTATATATTTTTAGCTGTCCAATTAATTTCTTTCTATTTTTGGTAGAGACGGGGTCTCGCTCTTGCTCAGGCTGGTCTCGAACTCCTGAGCTCAAACAATCCGCCCGCCTTGGCCTCCCAGAGTGCTAGGATTACAGGCGTGAGCCACCATGCCCGGCCCAGATCAGATGTATCTTGAAAAACTCCCTCAGCAGGTAGAAAAAAAGAATAAGGGAGAAGAAGGACAAAAGGGAATATGATGAATGTGGAAGGCTGACAAAAATACAACATAAGAAAAATGGGTTTCCTGGAAGAAGAGTAACACACACAGCAGTGCCAGTAATCAAAGATATAACAGAAGAAAACTTCATTAGATTAAAGAAGGACCTAAGTCTGCAGGAAAAAAGGTGCTGCTGTTTAACCAAGTAAAAGTAATAGAAAGAAACTAATATCTAGACCTACTAGGTGATTGTATCTAGGGTAAAGAATTGCATAAACATCCAAATAGAGTAGGAGGTGTGGGACGAGAAAGGTTGAAGAAAATGAAAGGAAATGTGTAACTCTTTCTCGATAGCCTTTACCAAACCATGACCATAAAGTAGCCATATTTATCATTAGCCAATATGGAGTGGGAAGTTAAAGGCATGAAATGGGCAGACATGGCTACAAGAAGACCCTGCTCTTCTCCTTTCACATTAGCTTTCCTTTGAGACAGAGAAAACTTTAGCATTACACAGTAATCCACAATAATTTATATATAGGTTAGTTCCACAGTGTTTTCTGAGATAGTTTCAAGGATACCTGTTAACTTGACACAAATAACTAAAAATAGTAAAATGCCAATAAAGTAGGAAATAAAGTCATATAAATTCATTTACCCAGAACTGTGAAAGACTAATAAGGTATTTTACCTAGGTGAACTTCACCAATAGTGAAAGCTTATTCCTTTAAGTGCCAAAATTTTTTAAAATGTTAGTCACTATGATGGAAACCTTTCTAAAATATATACTTCCGTAACTTTTCAAACAATGTCTTTTAAACATAATTTAATATTTTCTTGATGATCTAATAGTATCATTTTGAGTATTAGTTTTTATTATAACACATTAATGCCCTCGGGATTTTTGAGGTGTTTTTCCCTCTATTAAATTTCCCTCAGCTTCTATTTCATACTTTAACCCTGCCTCTATCATGCTGTTCGTATTTAATGTCTACAGAACTGAAGGCTGCCAAGAGAAACTAGATAATGAAATCTATTAAATCTGTAACTTAATTTTACACAATCCTAATTCACTGGGTTCAAGGTAAAAAGCAGTTGGCTCTGATCTCCTCCAAAAGAAAAGGCATGGGACTAATGACAGCTATTTCCTTCTACTTTTCACTGGCTTTTAGGTTTACAGCTATGTTCTGGGTTTTTTAAGCTGCCGAAAAGACAACTCACATTTACTGAGCTCCTTCTATATGTCAGGAACTTAATACAGTATATATTATATATACCTTGTAATATTCTAAGCAATAGAAGATGTACTATCCCTAGTACTGATGGAAACAAACTTTAACTTAGCCAATTTGCTCAGAGTCATACAAACAGCAAGTGGTAAAAGCCAAAGACTAGTTTAAGTCTGATTCCAAAGCCTTGCTTTTTCAATGACTTCACACTGTTTCCTAGAAAGGTGTTTTCCAAAGTATGTTTGGAGAATCATTTATGTGAGAATCAAGTTGGATGCCTGTAAACACAGAAATGGCTACCTACCACTCTGCACTTGCTGTGTAGGAATCTCTGGGGGTGGGTCTAGCGGGAAATCAGATTTTTTAGCAAGTACCACTAACATTTGAGAAACCACTGCCTTAGACAGAATGTGAAATTTATGAAGTCACAGTACAGAAGAAAACGTTATCTTGCACCTCCTCCTACAACTTGGGTCAAACTTTCTCAGCTTCTTTACGGGCTCCTTTACCTTTGTATAGCTCTTAAACAGGCATGATGGGTTATGCTCTAAACCTTGCTCTTTTCTCACATTACATCTCTCCCTGGGGAATCTCATCCAATCCAAGGATTAAATTCCTATCAATATACTTGTGACTCATA